CCCAAGCCAGAGAGAAGGTAAAACTTATCCAACTTAAGAAACCATAGAGCTATGAGAAGAGGATGTTGACAACTGAACCTTAAGCTGCTCCCACAAGCAGGAGTAATTGCCTTAAAAGCTCATCTCTTACATTCTAGAAAATTCTAAGACCATTCAATTCAGTAAAAACATTCATTTTTGGTTTTGATTAACAATATTCATGTTTTCTATTAACTGGCATAAAAAACTGAATGGATTAGTAATAAAAGTGCTTTGAACATATATATATATATGTATGTATCAGAGGCCCTTATATATACATATATAAGTAGATGAGAAATAGCATTGATTGTGCTGAAATATTTCCTCAATGTTATTATATTGCCAACATTTACATAACTATGTAATTTACATAACTATGCAACTTCACACCTCCATATGTGCACATGCTTCACACACCCATCCCCCAAAAAAAGCTTTCAGGGCAACCTTCTAAACACCTTCCTTCTCCTTTCTCCCTCCCCCAATGGGGGGAAAGGATGTTCTCACATTGGGGTTGCCCTGTAACACCCCCATTCCCTCTGACAACCAGTATACTTTTCAGAGTCTAAGAATTATTTTGACTATAATTTCCAGTTTGTTTTTGATGGAAGTTTAGGGTAGAAAAAAATTAGTGTGGAAGTTTTCACAAGAAACCAGAGGTGGGGATGTCACAGAGTCTTAAGCTGGTTATGGAAGTTTCCGGGAATCTGAGGGGGGTGAGGTAGTTAGAGAGGATCATCAGTCCCTGAAGACAGCCCAACCTGACCTAAGACAGAATATCCCACAGTAATCTTGTTATAGGGCAGGGAGAGGGGAAGCCCAAACCCCGCAAACCTGCCTATTCTAAATGGGTTCTGCCATCCGCCGCATCAACACAAAACATAGGAGACTTTAATGGGAAGGAACTTTAATACAACTAGGAAACAACACAGGAAAGGCAAAGAGTCTAGTTTCTAATCAAGCACCCAAAGTCACCCGTCCCCTCGTGGGTAAAACTCCATCCAAATGGGATTGGCCCAGAGCAAGGCCCCAAAGCCTGCCACAAGTCTAAAGCATCTTCCAGTGGGGACCCACAGAGGGTCAGAAACAACCAGACAAGCCCGGAAGGAAAAGAGCAAAATCAAAATCAAGATAAAAACTGCCATTGTCACCTCCCCACGGGTCTCACCCACATCTGTGTCATCCTGTCCACGACCAAAAGACAAGCACAGTTTCTTCACGTGTCTCTCGGCTCCATGTGCCTCCTCCAGGTCTCCTTCTGGCTCCATCCTGCTTCCTTCCTCAGTCTCCTCTGCAGCTTCTCCTCTCCCTGCTCAGCTCCACCCTCCCTTGGGTGGGGCAGGGAACCTGGAACCTCCCCCTTTCCTGGGGACCCCCCTGTTACAATCTCATCAAAGAACACGCTAAAACGACACCCTTTGCTCTGGAAAAACCCAGCCCCTGTCCTTTAAGACTGCCCACCTGTGTCGATGCAGGCATCTCTTTTTCCTTAATAAACTTGCCATGTGCCACAGAAAGGGAAACTGCAGGCCTCTTTCTCAGAGGGAACCAAGTCACAGAGTCAACCTAAGTGCCCAGTGATGGATGCCCGGATATAATACTCAATGAATACTGCTCTGTTATGGAAAAGGATGGAATGGTATCTTTTGGTTTTGCTGAAGTTAAATAGTAAAGGGGACCCTTTGGAAAGGGTCTCTGCCCTGGGAATAATTCACTTATTCCCAAATATTTGGTTTTCTGGTTTTGAAATCTGCAAAACCAGTTTTTCTATAGTCAGTCAAAATTTGAACATTGAGCTCAGAATGTTTGAGATTTGGGAGGAGACCAGGCTATAGAGGTCACTTCAAATGTAAATTATGTCTTAGGCAGAGGAAGCAGATTTATAGAAAGAAGAACTTTTCTTTAGTTCAACCCCTATTTGCAAGTGAAGACGATTTAGTGCTTATCTGAAGGTCAACTACCTGTGGGGAAAGACGAGTCCTCGCTGTTTTCCTAAAGATACCTAAAGCCTTACATTTCTTCTCAGATGTTTCCAGGTACCTGTCCCTTTTGGCAGCCCATGTTTGGGGAACAACTTGACCCCAAGCAAGGAGCTGGAATCCCCCACTCTGCCACAGGCTGGATCATATGCACAAATTTCAAAATAATTGGCACAGCCAGTCCGAACACCAGAATGAGGCAGAGATTTTACACAGTTTCACCTTCATTTATTTGGCTGGTTTTATCTTGACTGAAATTCTGGTGAGCTCAGTGGGTTAAAGGCGATGGTAGGTAGCTTGAATATGCTCTCGATGCCTGGCGTTGACCTTTCTGCTCCTTCCTCCTCCTTCCTGTACAGCCCATTTGTTGAGGTGCTCGCACTCACGGCCATGTGCTCAGAGTTTAAAATTATCTACAGCACCCCCCTCCAAGGCTGCTGGGGTGGAGGTCATGTGCAGAGCAGGCCCCAGTCTCTAGGGACAAACATAGGGGTCCATCTTGATCCTGAAGTGTTGGGTGGGAACTTGTTAAGTGGGTCTTTTGCCCTCTAGAGAAATAATTTACCAGAGAGCTCCAGGTGTAGTTGAACCAGGCAAGGCTTTATTAGAGCTTGTGTATGAGGGAACCAGGAGAATCCAGCCTGGCCCCTGGAAGGGAGTTAGGAGGAAATATTTAAAGGGCAGGTCTAAGGGGCAGGGCAGAGGAGGGCAGCATCATAGATTGTTCTGGGTTGGGCTACCTGTGGGCATGTGCAGGTTAGTTACATTCCAACTTCTCATACAGCCTGTCAACCTTCTCCCTTGAGGAAATTGTGAAATGAACCATTAGTCAGAATCTAATTTTTTTTTTTCTAGCATGGCAACTTATGGCCAGAGGGGCAGGCCAAGTTCTTGGGACAGGGCTGGCCAGCCAGTCCATGATTTAGTCCACCTGTTCAAACGGGACTTGGGGCAACTCTTATCCTACTGCTTGCCATTTCTTTTACCCAGGCTGCCTCAAACCCAGCTTTTCACAGGCAGCTGGCTTCTTCTGTTGTAGAGCAACCCCGATACAAAACAGGGTGCCTGACTGTGGGTCCTCGCCCGCGCGCTTAAAAGGACTTATCAATGCTCTACTGCAGGCACACGTGAAAGGTTCATAAAAGGTTTATTTACAAAGGGAAGGGGAAATGAGGAAATGTACAGCTCTGGGAGAAAAGTGGGAGACAAAGTTTTAAATGAGTCCTACCCGATCGGCCGATTAGGAATCCCAAAATGGCGCTCTGAGAGCTGGCCGCCAGCCAGGAGCGGTGAAGCCAGGAGAGGTGAAGCCAGGAGGCGAGCGATCGCGAGCCAGAGAGCCCAAGGCCCACGTGTTTGGTTTTTTATAGCCAACCTGGCTGCCCAACTCCACCCTCAGGTCCCAGCCACCCTCCCTTGGTGGTGATGGGATTTGTCTTTCCCAGAGTCTTGATGGCTTTAGTCTGGAGTGGGGGTGGAGTCCACAAAGTTAATCCTGTATGGGATTAACTCAGGACATCACTTCCCCCTAACAATTCCAGTGGGGCGTGGGCCTTTCAGGGTGACCCCCTTCTATTGAGACAGGGGTCCCAGCCCACACCAGCCACCCCATTTCACACAATTCCACTGGCTCCCCTTCTGCCTGACTTGACCTGATGGTGAACTTCAGGCAGGGAACAATTTGGGAAAATCCCTACTCAGGCTCTGCTGGAAAACCCCAAAGGGAGGGGACAAAGGCAACCCTAAATCTGGGCAGAACAGAACTGATCGCTGTGGAGCAAGGCCAGAGGGGCCAGGATTAAGGTGCAGGTCATTTTATTTTCCTTGTGTTTACACAGTGGAGGGTCCAGACTCTCCAGAGATCCTCTCAGAGGAAACTCACACGATTATCTATTTTATCTCTGATAAACTTCGTTGAGTAACTACCAGTAACCTTCAACAGCCTGTTTTTAAATAATTCATAAAAGCCACTTGCTTTATTTGAGCATCATTGGGGTTTCTTTCAGCAGCCTGAACAGAAATGCATTGTTACAGTCAACAGAAATATGTGAATGTCTCCCTATAATTTTACACGCAAACACATGCACTTCTCTGTTTATAGCTTCCCTCCCCATTCCTTTGCCCTTAACCTTATAATAAGCTCATTCATCCGCAGCCCTGCTTGGCTGCCTGCTGTTTTTAAAGCAGAGTTAGTCTGCGCAGTTGCTGTCCCCGGTGAAAGGGGTTTTGGAAGCGGCTCGGCGAGGCCGGCGGGGAGCGCAGGGCTGGCAGCGGCGGCAGCAGCGAGACGCAGCCCGACTCTTAGGAAAATGTTTGCTGTTCGCTCGTGTCCAGCCCCTCGGCCGAGCGAGGATCGAGCCTCTGTCCTTTATGTGTGAGATGCCCGGGACGAGGCAGTTCCCCAGGCGAGAACCCTGGTCTGGACGGACCTCCCCAGGCGCGGTGGTGGCCTGAAGCACAAGCATCTCCCGATCTTTCGTTTCCATGCAGGGAGGACGGGCATGAATAGGCACGAGTGTTTGGGGCGGCGGGTGGGGCCGGGATGGGGTGGGGGGAGGCGCGCGGGCGAGGAAAGCCTCCGGGGGGCCCGCGGCGCGGCCCCGTCCCACGCGCTCTTCCCGCAGCCCCTGCCCGGCGGAGGCGCGCGAGGCTGCGGGGCGCGGGCTCAGGTGCCGGGGCGCCGCGAGAGCAGCCGATTTCTGGTCCCCGCTGGGCGAGGACGCGACCCCACGCGAGGGTCCCCCCGCGCCGGCCCCCCCGGGCGCCCGCACCCCGCGATCGCGCGCCCCCGCGCACGCCGCCTCCGCGCGCCCCTCCCGCGCCCGGGCGACCCGCCTGCGCGGCGGTTCCGCCTCCCGGGGCTGGACCCGAGGGTCCTCGGCGGCGTCTTTAAGGCTCGGGCCCGCCCCTGGCTCCTCCCGCCCGCCGCGGCCGCGCGCCCTGCCGGGGTCGCCGCGCTCCGGGCCCCGCGGAGCGGCCGTGCGAGCGCAGCCGGAGCAGGTGCCCGAGCTCGCATGCCGCGGCCGGCCGGGGGTGGTAGCGGCGCGGGGCGCTCGGCCCGCGTCCTCCGCCGCGCTCGGGCCCGCGGGGACATGTCGGTGGCCACGGGCAGCAGCGAGGCGGCCGGCGGGGCCGGCGGGGGCGGCGCGCGCGTCTTCTTCCAGAGCCCCCGGGGCGGCGCGGGCGGGAGCCCGAGCTCCGGCGGTGGCCCCGGCGCCTCCCGGGAGGACCCGGCGCCCGCGGCCTCGGCGGCGGCCGGGCAGGTCCAGCAGCAGCGGCGCCACCAGCAGGGAAAAGTGACGGTGAAATACGACCGCAAGGAGCTGCGCAAGCGGCTGGTGCTGGAGGAGTGGATCGTGGAGCAGCTGGGGCGGCTCTACGGCTGCGAGGTACCCGGCCGGGCCGGGAGGGTCGCGGGCCTCCCCGTCCACGGTGCCCGCGGGCATCCTCCGGGCTCCGGCTCCCGGGGCGCCCTGCCCCGGCCCCGAGGCGCGGGGAGCTCGGCGCGGCGCGTTGCCTCGCCAGGCGCTGGGCTCGGGATGGGGGCGCCCCTCGGTGGGCTCCGCCGACAGGTTCCCGGAGAACCGCGTTGGTGTCGCGGGGAGGGCTGCGTCTGGCTGAGCGCGTTGCCTTTTCTCGGGGCCCCGGGCGCGTGTTGGCGCCTCACCTGGCAGCGCCTCGGGGGTCCCTGCAGCCCGAGGGCCGTGGAGGGGGAGCTGGGGAGAGACCTGCAAGCAGCGAAGCCTAGGAGAGGAGGGGTTCTGGGGATCTCAAGAGGCCCCCCCAGTTCCTGAAAATATGCATCAAAACCTGAGCTGAATGTTCTCTTCCGGCCAGCCCCAGTGCGCGCCCCCATAATTCGCTTTGCCTCCCCAAAGCTGCAAACGTGGGCTTTGTGGAAGCCGCGTTCCTCTTTCCTGGCCCAGCCCGGCGGCTCCCCTAGGTGCGCGCAGAGGGAAAGCCTTGGGCAGCCTGGAGGGCGCCCGGGTGGAGGGCGGGGGGCCCGCGGGCGGGTGCGGGGTGCCCGCGAGGGCCCGGGAGCGCGACTCCCCGCAGTTCAGGGCCGAGACTCACACGAGTCTCAGGGACGCGCGTGCCTCTGGGGTAAGAGAAATGTTTGGAAGAAGCCGTAGCAAGCATGCGAGGAGAATGACCGAAGCCAGGATCATCCCCCAGGAGAGCCCCTAATAACAGCAGCTCCACAGAAGCGCCTTCTCTGGGGGACTGGAGCTTGGAAGGGGCGAGGGAGGAAGAGGATTAATAATGAAGGACGTGGCTTCTAAGTTGAGCTGGGGTTGTGTCCCCACCACTGCGCTGTTCTTCAGCAGAAATGAAAGCCAGATGAACTCCCTGGCTTTTCCACTGGCTTGGGGATATTCTGTATTTCACACATTGGATGGTCTATTGTGGATACATATTTTCCTGAACATTCTCATTGCGCAAGGAAACAGCATTCTCATTAGGGACTAATGATGAATGATCAGGATATAATGAAGCTTGACTGTATGACTAATGGGCTTGTAAAAATATATGGCTTCTCCAACCCAGCTCTTGTAAAAAGCCACTTTAATTGCATAAATAAAAACTGGCCAAAATAGGAAGTGTTCATGGGATATTTTTATAGGAAGTTGGTAAAACTCTTTCAAGAAAGACTAGATTTGATTTAGGTGGGTTTACTGTTGCGTGGGTGAATGTGTTCAGTCTTGCCTTGAGAATTCAATAAATTTTCATTTATTTCATTCTGGGCTTTATACTCCATTTTAGATTTGAAGAAGATTGGAGTTAATAGAAAAACTGTTGTTGAAATGAGCCGTCCTTCAGCAGTGCTCTTTTATGGGAGACTAATTAGGTGTCCTTAGGAAGCTAGAAAGAGGTCCAGCCCCTACGAGGGTTGGCAAATCACGTATTTTGAACATTCTTCAGAATAATTAGGGGAAAAAGGAGGGTTGAATGTTCACTGTATTCAACATGTAGGTTAAGTACACATTAAAGGGTAAATGTGACCTTGAATCTTTTCCTTGCCCTCCTCACCTTCGTGTCTAGCAACCAGCTGGAGATTGGAGAGGTTTTGTGGTGAAATGTTCCAAGATGCTGTATGTTGCCACATGCCATTAAAATATGGCAAGTATTTTTCTTCAAGTTATTTGTTGTTGATTTAGGCTGATGGAATAAAAACCAGCAGGAAGGTTGTTGGCAGTTTGTAATGACTGTGCATCAACAATAAAAGACCTGGGGGCGAATCCGGGGTGCCGTAAAGACTGTCTTCTTTCATCTTCGTCTCCACTGGTAGGCCTCTATTTTTAGCTTAGACCTCTTGTCTTGTCTGCTTCCCTTGCTGATTGCCTCAACTGTTTCAGCATCTGGCTTGGGATTCCAGTAGGATCTAGCCAGGCGTCTAAGCTCTGAATCTCATGAACATGGAGGTTCAGGACTGTTCTTTTCACACTCAAAATTGGTCATGTTTTCAAATGTTTGTTGTATAAAATGACACAGAAAACCAATTTGCCAGACTTCAAACTCGCGCGAATACATATTTAATTTCAGAAGGAGTTGCATCCGGCAGGTCTGCAGTTAGGGGACTTGTGCGTTTTGGAGTAGAAATCATGATCTCTTGAAGCAGCAAGAAGCATGGTACGTGAAATTAGGAAGGAGTGGAAAGAAGAAACAGAGTAACTTCCCGACTGTGGTCTTATCTAGAGCTTGCAGTGGTTGGTCCTTTTTGCGTGGAGAGTGTCATAAGACAGCATTTGTGGAGTGCTTGTGAGGGACCAGGTGCGGTTTAGACACCCATTTGTTCAGTCTTTACCACAGCCCTATCACGAGGGTGCTATCTTTTCTGATTTGCAGATGTGGGAACCGAGACACAGAACGATTAAGAGACGTTTCCTAGCGCATGTAGCTGGTGAATGGTAAGGGTGGGTGTGGAGTTAAGAACTCTGGTGGTGCGGCGCTCACACCACTTTTAACCAGCACACCTGCCTGTAACTTTGCACTGTCCAGGCAGGAGAACAAATGGAGGGCCATATAGCAGATGTCAAAATATTTAGAAGTGACAAACTAGGCTAATGAAACATTTACGTGCAATTTGTTCTACCTGCCTACCTGGACAGCAATATCTTCCTAAGAGTTGAAATTTGAATTTTCAGACTTCCCAGAGCTCAGAGGTATAAGATGGCTGGAGAAACTGCCCCCCACCTAGGATCCCTTTCCTTTTGCTTCCCACTCATATAGTCCCACCTGGTGAGGAGTACAGTGTCCACTTGCATGACCGATCTCTGTCTACACCCTCTGCCACACCACTTTGGCTGGCACTATTGGCGATGTCCCCACGCCCCCAGCCTTGGGAGAACAGATCTGCTAATGCCCTAGATGTGGCTTGGTATTTTGACCAGGGACTTTTGGGGACCTAGAGTGTAGCCTAGTGGCTACAACCAGGTAGAGGGACCCCAGTTCTGGCAGGAACTGTGTGGGGAGACGGGTGTGGCAGGCTTGGGCTTCAAGGATTCTTACCCCGTAGGAGGGTGGTGGCATTAAACACAGCATCTTACAGCTTTTTGGATACATAGTTACATATTTTTTATAAATTCTGCAGTGATTAATGATGTTTATCGTTATTTTCCATTTCACCTTGTACTGTAGTTAAGTTTTCAGCTGGGAGTTTAGTTAAACTGGGAATGTTAAGTTAAATCTACATCTACTTTTAAGGATTTCTGTTTCAAGCTATCACATTTCCAAGAATTTTTTTTTTTCAGATCTCTGCCAAATCCTGATAGTTTTTAAAGCATTTGAAACCTGGCACAAAGTCTGCCTTGGCATGTACTGCAAGGTGACTTACTGGATAAGTCATATCAATTTTCCACATCTTGCCCAGTATCGAGATAACATCTGTACTTCTCGTTTTGCAGTTTGATTTGTGTTGGGAATAAGAACCTGGTTAACAACTTGATTGTTCAGCTCAGATTGTTGAAACGCCTGTAGCAGCCTCGCCATAAACAGACTTGGGCACGGCGGGCACTTGCTGGCTTTCCCTGGCTGTCATTCTGAGGATCTGCCCTTTTCTCTGAATCTAAATTAGTGGTTTCTGGCCAGTAAAACGTTTTCATCCTCCTTAAGTCCCGACCATTGTCATTCTGTATGTAAATCAGTGTTTTCCAAAGTTTTTTGATGGCGACTCATAGAAAGGAATATGTTCCGATCATGGCCTGATCCATCACAGACCCAGTGGATATGAAGACAGCTTCCCAGAGCACCACTGATCGTTGGTATGGACTCTAAAGAAAATAAATCACAAAGGAGTATGAAGTCTATACCCTTAATGTTTTAATATAATATTCTGTGGTTAATTTCTCCAAAATTGCTGATTGTGATCATCTAAAGGGATTTTATACCACATTTTGGGATTATGACCTATGGTTACAAAATATACTACTCCAGAAAAGGAGAAATCTAAACATCGGTAGTAGAACTTGGCACTTATCAAGTGCTTTCTATGTGTGGGGTGTGATCCTAGCAACAACCTCTGATGTCCCATCTGATGGATGCGGAGCTGAGAAATCAAGAAGTTGCTCAACTGGGGAACTAGGGCCCAACTGGGACTTGGCAGGGCAGGGCTGTGTCAGGAGCCTCTTCACCAGTGCTCCGTACTGCTTCCGGAGGTGGAATGGAGTCAGGCATCTTCTGTGAACCCCTGTATCACATACTGCCTGCGCTCTGGATGTGGCTGTTGTAACTTGCAAGTTGACTGGGATTGCAAGTGGGGGGTCACCACCTTCAGTGGGTTTGTCCTTTTCCCTGGATCAGGCTTCTTGTTGTAAGTTCTGGATTCCCGGTCTACACATCAGATTAGCCTGCTTTGCTGCTTTGTCAGCATCTCAGCTGGCAGGGAGAAACTGCTGCTGGCTGGTGGAGTCTTTGGTGAATCTCCATTTGTGTAGTTACTTGACAATGAAGAGGGGTCTAAACAAAACTGCTTTAAAAGAAATCCAAAAAATATTATGGATTAAATCTAACATGTTTAAAACCTAGGAATAAAAGAATTCTACATTGTCGAAGGATGGAAAGAAAACTGTACTGAACACACTTCCCTTTGGAACAATGGTTCTTTTAGGGCAATGTGGTGTGGGAGTAAAGGCTTTGAAGGGAGATGAGCCTGGAGTTTCATCAGGCCCCAGCATTTAATAATCGTCAGAGATTAGGCAATGGCCTTAACCTCTCAGCGCCTCTGCCCTCCCCAGCACCATGTTTAAGGGAACCCTCTGACCCCTTTGCAGGGGGCTATGGGAATGCATGGGCAAGACTGAGCATATGTGGTGGCTGGGCCATGGTTGGTGTAGTCAGTGTTGTAGTTTAAACCATAAACTTCCACTGACTGTTGGTTGTTATCCATGGC